TGAACTTATACAAGTGGATTTTGGAGAGGTATTACAGTATGCATGTGGCCGCGATGTATGTTGTGTCTTTCCACCCTGACGATCGCACCTTTGTTGACAAAGTTCAAGACATGCAAGTGGATGCAAGTTTACAAGACAGAGTTGCTCAAACAACAACGGATGGCGTTGGAGGAGCAGCAGAAAACAGTCAAATCGCTGGTGACGACATGACATTCTCGCAGCAGGTCGAAGCAGAGATGCAGGACCTGGAGCTTCCCTTGCCTAAGCGCTGCAAAGTCAGCTCGCAAGGTGCGGCTGATGATATTTTGAAGATTCTGCGCGTTGACGAGGCTTCATTGCTGTGTAATGCTTTCTCAGATCCTCCGCAGTCTGAGGAAGGTAGCATCCTGCGTGAGATAGAAGACGTCCGAGCAATGGTGGCTCAGCATGTCCAATCGTCATTGTGGCACAAAAGCTTGCAACATGTTGCGCAAGGAGCAATCTGTGTTCATCGACTGCGCTTGTTAGACATTTCGCGTCGAGAGGAAGTTCTCTTTCTCGAGCTCATTGAAGGAAGCTCGCGTACAACGTAGAGGACCTGAGCCATTCCCCCAGCACAGACCACTCGCTGAGTTGCGAGCCTGCCTGCAAGGGAACGGGAGTGTGCAGGAATACATCGTTGTCGAATATCATTATCGGACCGAGCACTGCTGTTTGCAGTCCTTGATGTTGACTCTTGACCTTGCTTGTACTCGGAAACTTGGCTCACGCAGCTGCATGCTCTATGCGATGCATGTCGGCTAGTTTTGCTCTGATGGACATTTTATCTGCACTAGAACCTTTTCTTCAGTTGCAACAGAGCTACTTGGTGCCTGAACCGCTGATCGAGCACTGGCAAAAACCCACAGCAGGAGCTTCCAAATACCCGGTTTTGCTCAGCCACACCCCCCCCCCCCAAGCAGCAAGCCCAAGGAGTATAGGCCCTAAGCCCGTAAACCCCTAAACCCTATACCAACCCCCCCCGCAAGCAGCAAGCCCAAGGAGTATAGACCCTAAACCCCTAAACCTTAAAGCCGTAACTCCATGGAGCCTTGAGCAAAACCCGAGGCCCGAAGCTCCTTTGTGAATCCAAAGGCCCCCCCGAAATCTCGAGCCGTTATGAGCGCCGTGCTTTAGCCGAAGTATAGGCCCTAAACTATGGAGTCTCACCGCCTGAAGTTTCTAAGATGATTAGGGCATGGGATCCTAAATCCACACATTATGTGTGGATTTAGTGTGACACATATCCCGCCGTGAGGCCCCTGAGCTGGAAACCCCCTCAAGGCACAAACAAGCCGGAGATGGGTTCTTCTTCGAGACGCGTACCTTCAAGCTTCAAGAGCGTGGGACGCATGCGACTTATAAATGCTTGCTGGATGTCCGTGTCCTTATTATGGTATCTTACGGTAAGTTCCTCGATGAATGCCCTGACACTGGCGACCCTCGGGGTCTTTGGACATTCTGGCGCGTTTCCCTGCAGTGCGACCTCATCGCTAGGCCGGTGGGACAAAGCCCTAAAAGCCGGTAGAGCCCTGATAAGATTATGATGAACTTATTCTGAGCTCCCTATCAAGAGCCACGGAGACCCAAAAGCCCAAAAGTCCTAAACCCTAAATCACCTTCTGACGACGAATCTCTTGCAGAACTCTTGCAGACCTTGCCAGGCTTGTCCGAGTGTGAGTGTCAAAAAAATTACCACCCAGGAGACCTCAAGCACCAGTCTCGAGTTCTTCAGCCCAGGCGATGTGGCAACTTGGTAGCGCTTGAGAGCCCGACGCCCTGAGTCCCAATTCGGCTAAGAGTGCCCTGGGAGTTTCAACGTTTTAGAGTATAGGGTGTGCCCGAATGCCGATGTTTACTTCCAAAGGTCCACGTACCTGAATAGTATATCGTTAGGCCGTAAAGTAGACTGAGCCCTGAAGCCTAAACCTAAAACCGTTCAGCGTAGTGGTTGGGATTCTGAATCTAAGCCCGAAGCCCTAAAATCGAGAGCGAGTGCCCAAAAAACCCGTAAACCCTAAACCCTAAGCCCTAAATTAGGCCCTGAACCCTAAACCCTAAATTAAGCCCTAAACCCAAAACCCTAAATCAGGGGTGGCAAGCCTAGGGCTCAAGGTTTCAGGAAGCTCCCAACATGACAAGTTGGGAGTTTCCGAAAATTAGGGGTACCTTATTTTGGGGCCCTTATAATAAGGATCCTACTATTTAGGGTACTATAGTAGGGTCCCCTATTTTCGGAAACCCCCAGTTGCAAGGAGGTTTTAGAGGCCGGGTCCCCGAGAAAAATCAGGGCTGCTTGAAGGTCCAGCTTTTGGGAGGCTTTCTGCTTCGGGTTTAGGTTTAGGGTTGGGCCGGGCGAGCTCCAATCAAGGCTGTGTAAAAGGTTTAGGGGTTTAGGGGTTTAGGGGTTCGGGGTCCTTCCAAAGCCTGTAGAAAAGATCGTTCACATATACATTCGATAGGAACAAAGCAGTTCTCCGGAGCTCAACACCACACGTCAGATAACCACACTTAGAGTTTAGGGTTTAGGGTTATATGGAACTCTGTTAAGTCCTTTGAAGGTTACTACAAAACCAAATTCTGCGCCGTCCAAGAGGCCCGGCATGCAGCAGAACAGCTCCAGAAGTATCTCTCCTGCCACTTGCATTTCCAGCTCCTTGGCCTCAAAGCCCTAAACCCGAGCGGAGATTTGAACCCGAAAAGCACAAAGCCCTACCCGCACAGACTTCACCCTAAAACCCCCACAGCACGAAGGCTTAATTAAAGCACTGCACCTCTTGCCTGCATAGGTCGAAGCTTACTTAAAAGCTCGCTTGCATGACCATCAAGGTCTCACTTTTCTCGGGCTTTCTTTCATCCCGAGCCGCCCCGAAACCGACCGGCCCAATCCCTGAAACATTTGGTTGGGTTCAGGGCTGGGTAGGCGCACTCAGGGGACATGCACGGGTCTTGTTTAACCCTATAGAACCTATATGCCGCAGATCAGGTTGCTCAGCTGTGGGTGGTGTAATAAAGGCCCTGGTATGATATACCCTCAAGCCTAAAGCCATGTTCGAACGATTAAGGGCCCTAGATTATATAGCCATGCTCAAGCTTCACCCCAAAACTTGCAATGCAGTGAGAGGTCTCGTGTGTTTCTTGCAATGCGACTCTGCCAGCTATCCGCGAGCGCAAAGCCACAGATCCCATACTCGCGAAGCCCCACTACCTGTGAACTCTACCTATAGTCTCCATTGTAGTTCCTTTGTGGGGCTTACCTTTTAGGATCCTTAGTATAGAGTTGGTTATATACCCGAAATGGGAACTACAATGGAGAAAAAAGGAACAGCAATGGAGACTATAGGTAAACCCCCTAAGCACTCAAGTCCTAGCTAATGTGGGACTTTCCGAAAATAGGGGTACATTATCTTGGGGGTCCTTATAATAAGGAACCTATTATTTAGGGTACTATATTAGGGTCCCCTATTTTCGGAAACCCCCATGTCTGAGTTAGTGGGACTTCTTGCTCTTGGGCCGAGCTGCGAAGTAAGGCCGGCCGGAAAAGCTGAGATCGCTACTGGTCGTTGTCTCTTTAAAATTTGGGATTTGGGGTGAGGCTTGAGGCTTATGGGGGTTGGGATTCAGGGTTCTTGCTGGTTCATAGAGCTCTGGGTTTAGGTTCTGGGGTTTGGGGTTGAGGGCTTTTATGGGGGGGTGAGGTTCAGGGTTCCGGGCGCTCGCGTGCTCAGTGGGGTGTCGGCATGCATCAAGTCCAGGTGTAAACAAGTCCTTTAGGGCCAGATGTTCGGGATGTGTTTCACGGTTTGACATAGTTTGTGGTTCCGAGTGACTGTCGGACAGGGATTTCGGGATTTGGTTTGAAGTCTGGCTCTGAACCTCGAGAAGACGGCAAGCTGCTACTGCTGCTGCTGGTACATCTGCGACCGCAATAACAACTAGAAATGGAATGTTGCACTCATGTCGGTGTCGGGATCTTTCTTGTCAGTATGACTTACATGACAGGCAGCTGATTAACATCGAGAGCTGCATGAGGGTGAGACCAGGAGCAGAAACCTGATTCAGATTTTCAGTCGTCCTCATCAAGCTACTGGCCCGCATGGAGCGCCTGTGCTGTCACTATAAGACATGACGGGGAAGGAGCAGTTTCTGCCTTCATGCGAGGAAAATGTTCTAGGCACGCACTACGACACTACGCAGGATCCATGTAGGTATTGAGACCTTGAACCGTAAGCCTCGTCTTGGCCAGGCGGATGGCTGACAAAATGAAATGGCAAACCGTGTAGATCCGTACTCCCTGTGCAGAAAAGCCAAAACGTACTACACATCGTGCCTACGAGCACCTAGTATGTTACTGTTAGTGATTGGTATCATGAGGGCAGGAAGTGATCAACAGCACACCGCGTCACGCCGAAAGGTTGTCCACGACCGGCTTGCCGAGCGCTTTGCTACCGCTGTAGCGCTGCAGCGAGTCGGCGCGAAGTCCCCCACGACGCCGAGCCTAGTCTCTCTGACTGCGCACAGCCTTTAAAGCGGAAGGGGGTTTAATTCTACTGTTTCAGGCTTCAGCGATAGTCTGAGCTCAGGGTTGGAGGGTCTAAGAAAGGGTTAGGGCTGGTTGGGAGCACCGGCTTGGCTTGGGGAATGGAGTAGTTCGTGACAGTGGTCTGGGAAGTGAGAACTTCTAGGAGGGGAGTTCGTCATTCACGGTTCGGGGTTGGGTGGCTATGTTGAAGGAGGTTTTGCGAATGTGTGGGGCAGTAGTTCTCGTCCGTCAAGGCAGAAACTTTTAGGCCGATCTTGCTAGGCGAATCCTGTCGAGTTTCCGTCCAGGTGCTCTGGCTAGCGTTTTCTTACCTCTACTATTTGCCAATGACCTTCTGCACAGGCGCTCAGATGTGCGACTTTGCCCGCTGCCTTGGGCATGCCAGGTCCTGTTCTTGGTTTTCTGCCCTAAACTTTTAAACACACTGAGTCTCAAGTCCTAGTTTTTGAACCTTAAACTCTCATCCCACCGGCAGCCTCAACCGGTTCGCTTGGCTCCGCAATGCTTCTTTCAAGCTGCACGCAGAGGCTTTCCACGGTGCTCCTGGGCAGGACTGCTCGGAAGGTTCCGGCGCCAGTTTGGATTCAGGCAAACAGGTTCTCGATCTCCACTTGAAGCGGTCGGGACTCCAGGGAAATCAGCCGGCTTTGGTGGAGCCACAATAGATCCAAGCCTGCAGATGACTCCAGAAACGACCAGGGTCGCAGGAACTCAGATCCAAGAACTTCAGGATGGAAGCTTTTGAGATCCGCAAGCACCCAAAGCCTTCACAGACTCTAAACTCAGAACATTCAAACCCTCATGCCTGAAGCCCTACGCACCAAAGCCGTTTGCTTTTCCGTTGAACATCTTACGAGGATGTGCTGCGCAGCATCTGTCGCCGCGGGTTCCTCATGCCTGGGGATTGGATTGACCCATGCCTGGCGTATTTAATGTGGGTGCCTTCATAATTAGAATAGGGTTTTGGGGCTGGCTTAATATAATCATAGTATAAAATACCCCAAACCCTATTGTAATTAGCAAGGCCCCTCTATTGGGTTCAGCGCGTTCGCTTGTTCTTGGGCTTACTACAGGCTGTACTGGGCATAATATACATTTATAACATTGTAACATAGCTGAGATAGCTATACATTTCCTTACCTGATCTAACATTATCTGACAATCGGTTTGAATCTCGTCTGACAGAACCTTATTACATGAATTGAAAAAGAACCTAATACTGTATGTTTCTGTATCAGGTTATACTATGTTATATGAAGTATACTTTTGTCTTGTCTTTTATTGTATTGTATTCTACTGCATTACATGATATTACAGAATAGTCTGGCCTAGTCTATTCTAGCATAGTATATTATACCATTCTCGATCAGATGCGCATATGAATAGAAAATAAAACCTAAAACCGGCTGATTACACTCTCACTTTCATTGCTACCATATCATACCATATGATCATCTCCCATCATGTCATGCCAAAACATACCATGTCAGATCATACCATGTCTTAATCTTGTCGTACGTACCGATTCGCATCCTGTCGTATAGCGAAGTATAGTAAGGTGACAGTATAATATTGTAGTAGAGCATTCTATCGCATATAATAGGACAGCGTAGTAGAGTAGAGCATGATGTGATGCATCATGTGTACATTCGACACTGGTTTTCTCATTTGAACATGTCAGACCACATGGCTACCCAAACCCAAGCTTCAATCCTCAGTCTGGTCTGCCACAGGAGAACCCTCGTTCGTGCGTTTTTGTGTTGATGTCGCTTTGGGGTTTAGGGTTTAGGGCTTGTTGGTGGTTGGGGTCCCTTCTGAAAGTATGGCCGCGTCATGGCAGTTCATCCCTCAACCCACCCTAGCACCCCGAGCAAACTTGAAAACGGGCCGAAAGCCTCCCAGCTTTGCCCCCAGGAAGGCACCCCCGACTTTCTCTCCATGGAGCATGGAAATGTGAAAGGCCCGGCGGATTCTGTGGGACAAGGGCATCGCCGCTTTCGTTCACTGCGCTGCAGGGCTGTCCCATAAAGCTTGGAAAAACCCTAAGCCCTAGACCTCACACTTTGGGGTTCCAAGTCCCACGACTTCTTTCCTCGTTTTCTTTTGTCACGTCGGCTTCAGATGCAGGAGTCAAGTTTCTGGCGGTTTAGGGATTAGGGTGATTGGAGCTGCTTCGAGTTGTTGGCCGAGGAGTTCTTTGGGCCTCATCCTATTGTGGGCTCTCCGACCCGAAACAAAAAAAACTAAAAAACGCGCACCCAAAGACCTGAGCGAACGACCTGTGATACTGGGTTCAGGGTTTGGGGTTTCGGGTCATAAATCTCGAATCTCTGAGGCCATAAGAAGACAGGTTCCTAAACTGTCGCAGTGACTGGAGAATGCAGGAACCTGCATAGGAACCCTGACATAGGAACTGACGTGGGAACTCTTGAAACCCTTGCAACCTTGTAGGCTCCTTATTCTAAGTCTACAGTATAAGAACCCCCCCAAAACCCCATTCCAATTCTTAAGGCCCCTACAGTAACCCCAAAGTACCCGCTTTTCTCAAAAACCCCATTGCGATTATTATGGCCCCTACATTAACCCCAAAGTACCCGCTTTTCTCAAGGCATGGGTGTCTACACCTCCCCATGCCTGGACACTGCGGCGCGTTACTCCGGTAAGGGTCTCGGTGCCTGGAAGAGCCTACTTGGAGGTTCATGGGTAGCTATAAGTGGGGTTATAAGTCCCCTAATAGGGGTTATAATCATAGTTATCCTACTTATAACCCTACTTGTAACTACCCATGAACCTCCAAGTAGCTTCCAGCTATGATACCAGCGATGATACCTATAGTCTCCATTGCAGTTCCTTTTTTTGGTTAACTAAATACTAGATACCTATCCCTAAGGGTCCATGTACCCAAATAGTATATACTTTGGCCCCAAAGTACCTATATAGGGACGACATGAAGGCCAATGTATGTACTACTTGGGTACATGGACCCTTAGGGTATAGTCTCCATTGTAGTTCCTTTTTTGGGTTAACTAACTTCATATTATGGGATCCTAACCATAAAACTGGTTAACCCAAAAAGGGAACTACAATGGAGACTAGAGGTAGGCCCGGAAATGTTCAGGATCCGGTCGGACCCTATACCAAGGGAACCCGAATGCGTTTCCACGACGCCGTTAAGAATGCTTAGCCGTAGAATCAGTTCCAGCCGCGGATTTCCGGATTCCGGGGGTCATATATGGTACAAGTATTTTTTTGGGGGTTTAGAGTTTACGTGGAGGTTTAAGTTCAAGTCGGCAAAACCGCCTGTGTCCAAGAACTAAGGGGTCTACGACAAAGACGGTGTTGGGCTGATCTTAGTTGCCCTGGTGGCCCCTGGCGCTATGTGGCGTGAGAAGAGCCGCCTCTTAGCTGCATTTGTGCAGGAACCCGGACCTTCCAATATTCCCCTGAAAGGGCCGTGGTCTTTCAAATGTTTTTGAGGTTGCAATGGGCTTATCTGATTCCACCTTGAGGATTGGTACTGCAGGGCTATCTCTGAAACGAGGCATGTAAGCAATCTGCGCATGTACCCTTTCGGGGCGTTGTGCCAGAGACAACCTAAGGATGTGGCTTCCGTGTTCGGGTATACGTACCTTATGTTATAGGGTCATTGATAGGACAATGGAGTGATCTACGTTGCTGCGGATCACAGGGGGATCCTAGTAACTTTGAGAACCGCACGTATGCCACATGTAGACACGTCAATGCCATATGGATGCACAGCGAAGCCATACAAACCCAATGGTTAGTAAAATTGACTTCGGGGGAGGTACATTCTACTACACTTCGTTTTAAAGGTTATAAACAGATACTACCACTATTCCCTCTGAGCCCTAACATATAGATGTGTTTGAGCCTCTGACGAGGTGCAAGACATAGGGAGTGGCTTACTCAGGGTGCAGGGCTTCAGGATTTGCTGGGCATCAAGGAGTCCCAGCTAGGATTTGCGAGCCATACAGTCACAGATAGTTTGTATGATCTTGTGGTTTTGCCTTTTGGTTCGTTAGCTCTTCGTCCGATTGCTCAAGTTTCTTTGGATGCTCTGCGAGGCGATGAGACGCAAAAGCAGTGGCCTGGCTGGGCAGTAAATTTGTCCTCGCAGCTTTCAGGTGTGCTGTATTGTACTCACTCGTAGCAATAGTAATAATGATGATGATAATATTAATACGTAGTCATAGTACGTAATGATGCAGTAACAAGAACAGGGTGATGATGGTAATACTACTAACAATAGAAGAACACTCAAGCAACAATAACGACCACAATACTGATGACACTAATGTGTGTATATGTGTATATGTATATACATGTATGAATGCATGTATGTATACATGTATGTATACATGCGTATATGCATTCATTTATGTATGCATGTATTTATGTGTGTGTGTGTATGTATGTATGTATGTATGTATGTATGTATGTATGTATGTATGTATGTATGTGTGGATGTATGTGTGTATGTATGCATGCATGTATGTACGTGTGTATGCGTGTGTATACATGCGTGTATGTATTCTTGTGTATATGCGTGTATGTATGTACCATTGTATGTATGTATGTACGTATGTATGTATGTATGTATGTATGTATGTATGTATGTATGCGTGCGTGTATGCATCTATGTATGTATGTATGTATGTATGTATGTATGTATGTATATTCATATGTATGCATCCATGCATGCATGTATGCACATATGTGTGTATGCGTGTATGCATGCATGCTTGCATGCATGTATGTATGTATGTTTGTATGTATGTATGTTTGTATGTATGTATGGTATGTGTGTATGTATGCATGTATGTATCAGATATATGCCGCTGGACTCTAGCCCTAGACCTAAGACCCATCGCCGTCCCACTGTCAGCCAGGGGTGCGCGCCAGCACTGCCCAGTAAACGGAATGTCAGACTGGGTCCAAAGTCTAAAGCCTGCGTAGGGCCGCAAAGGGCTGTCAGCAGATCGCCGGGTTCAGGACACGTGTGAAAACCTCATGCCTTTGCAAGGGTTCTAATCGAAGGATAGGCTCTGCAAGCCACCAACCGCAGTTCAACCGTAGTCATCATTCCCACCCAGGTAGACACCCGTTTTGCAACTATCGAGTTCTGAGGATTTCACGCTGGTTCTTCCCACCAAGGCCGAAGGCCAGCTGCAAAATGCCTTGAGACTGTAGGTCCCTTAGCCACTGAGCCCTTGCAGCGTGCACTTGCAAGCGGGCACCTTCACATCCAGGGAGGCAGCCTGTCAAACCCCCCTTCCTCCCCACACTCTTGGGGCGGTATCATGTGGAGAAGTATCTTAAATGTGCTCTTTCGTAGCGGCCCGTGACTGCACACTGGTGTCTGAGTTTGAGGCTGTCAGATATGCACGCCTTCGTCTTTAAATGACACGAACGGTAGACTGGACACAGAAGCCGCGTAAACCTCCGACGATCACTTCCGTCCCTCGTCTATGCGCTGTGGGTGGCAGGCTAGCGCAAGATGCCCGAAGGGCATTGGGTTTATGATGCTTAGTGGAGTGTCAACGAATGTCAACGACCTGATTGCTCCCCAACTGATAATACCGGGGTTTGGGTTTATGGTTTAGGGGTTCGGGTGTGTAGGTTCGCCTCCCAAGACCTGGAAAGTCGTAGTCAGATTCTGTACCTTGAGGTCTTGCACGAGTCTCCAATGTCATGTCATCTTCAGCTGGGCTTGATTACAAACCCCCTGACTCGAAAGCTCGCGATCTAACTGGAATTCCTAAACCTTGTAAGCCCAGAACCCCTGTAAAAACACTAGATCCTAGCGCCCTATACTCTCTAAGCACTTTAAGATGCAAGCCCGAAATCCTAAGCCCTCCTGAGCCTGAGTAGATCCCGTTTCGCTTAAGGGTGGTGTGGGGGTTCAGGAGGGGCAGCGCTGTGGCGGATGGGTCTACCACCGCGGATACTGGAAGGCTCCTGCCGTTTCGTATTAGTTTAAACTGGTTTCACGAAGGCTGAGGTTCAGAGCTTAGATGAGTTCAGGAGGGCTTAGGGCTTTCAGATTCTCAGAGTTTCTCGTGGCGATGGCTGTCTGCCTGAAGATTCAAGTGGGCCTGTGACTTGAAGATTTGTGTACGGTTGTGGGAGGTTCAGCGCCGTAGGATTTCTGGTGCAAAGTACCGGGTACAGTATTGGCATTTAAGGCGTGAAGCCTCTGAATCAGTTCAAGGCCCTCAGTGCATCAGCAACGTGTAGCTTTTGCAGCTTCTGAGTGCTGTCATGAGCCTTAGACAGGCCGCCGACCTTACACGGCCCTACCGTGGGTCCACAGCAATGACGGCGAACATAGGTTCGCAGAGAGCCCCTGAACCCCTAAACATCATGATCTCGACAGCAAGGGTATCATGTCGAGGCTTCCTTTAAGACAGCCTTTCCGCCTAGGTCGTACGCAATAAACTTAGCTGTAAACGACATACTTAACACCTTGGTCTGTGATCTGTGGTTGTCACATATTTCGTCTTCCTGGTTTCCTGGGCCGGCGTCTTGCTGCTGAGATTTGTTTCGACAGGCCAGACCAAAACAGCAGTTTAAAAAGTTTGTAGGGTTAATCAGTGTGGAGAAACCTTATGGTAACCTTAACTGCGCTTCTCAGCAGAGACAGCGAAAACGATCCTGATCACTTTCTGTGTCCCCTGCTGCAGGCCAAAGCAGAAAAACCGCCCCTTGCGGCCCATGCAGTACACCTAAGCGTAAAACTTCCGCTGTCTTTTTAAACATTTGTTGAACATTCTTCCGTTGTTGCTAGTATGATCATCTTTACATTATTGTTAATATTCTTGCGGCTATGTCTAGTATAGTAATTATCATTCATGTTTTTGTTGCTTCCTTTGACCCGTTCCTCGGGAGGTGGCCGATGGCGAGGCCTCCGGCAAGCAGCGCCTGGGCTCACAAGGAAGCCAGGGCCACGCCGAAACTACGTGAATTCCGCCAAAGAAACTGCCAAAGTACCCGCGAGCTGGTTTCACCTCGGCAAGCCCCCACTCGAGCATCCAAGATGCATGAAGTAGGCTACGATAAGTCATAGAAGTAGTGGTGAGAGGAGGCATCAGCATAGCACAAGCTAAACCCGAAACCCCAAGGAGCCATGGATCAGACACCCAGAGACCGAAACACGCTCGGAAGCCTGGCAACAGCAGCAGAGCAGACTGCTTGCGGAAGTCTGCGACAGTATAGGAGCCAAAATAATTACCAATGCAATTTTGTGAGTTCTTTATTATAGGTATGGTAGAATATACCCCAAAGCCCTGTTCTACTTATTCAGGCCCCTATCTTATGAAAGTCCCTGTTCTACTTATTCAGGCCCCTATCTTATGAAGGTTGGACAGGTGCTCCAAAAAAACGCAAGAGAGTGACAAGCGACAAGAGTTGCTGTACTCCAGCCATGAGGTAGACCGGGCCATTCGTCCTGAAGGGCACATGCAAACGACTTGATTTATACTATGAAGCAGGCATGAGACCTATTCAATATCCAAGAGGTCTGGAAGTAGCCCAAAATATTTGATCGTATCTCTGCAGGTTCGTCGCGAATTCGCCTTAAAGCTGATAACTGGGCTGTGGTCCAGAATCCAGAGTGTATCAGGCAGTGCATGATGGAAACATGCCTTTTTTCTGCATCGTTGTATGAAAAATTTGAAACCCCAGAGAAAAACGACCCTAAACCCTAAACCCTAGGCCCTAAACCCTAAACCCTAATCCCTAAACCCTAAACCCTAAACCCTAAACCCTAAACCTAGAGCTGCCGGGTTTAGAGATCGATGTGGGCGGAAGGTCTGCTTCGGACAGCTGGGACATGGCTTTTGCGCCGGATAGCTCCGCTCTCTACGACGGAGTGCCTTGGCGCATGTGGGAGTCGTGGAGAACATGGACACTCTGATTAGTAGATTAGTGTCCTGATATAAAATGAAGGGTTTAGGGTTTAGGGTATCGGATATTCAGGCGATTGCACAAGTCCTGATGCAAAAAGGGTATGGACACTCTGATTAGTGTCCTAATATAAAATGAGGGTTGGGGTTGCATATTGGGGTTTCTCAGTCTCTGAGAAATGCCCTACATGGATGTGCCGGTGCCTTTGGAGTTGTCAATCATCTTGGAGCTGTACTGACTGTACTGGTATACCCGTGAGGAGGTACAGGGCTTCGGTTCTCAAGCTTCAGTTTTTTGCAGCTCTGAACCCCGAAGTTTGAGGAATTTCAGGCCGATTGGCCTGAGAGGAAGGCACAGACCCAGCTCCCAGCAGCGATTTGGCTGTAAGGTGAGAGAAAGAGAGGTTTCGAGGTTAATGGAGGGCTTAGGGATATGCCCATGCCAAACACACATGACTTCGGTAGTCGGGACTTGGAAGACAGCCCGAACTTAACAAGTCGAAGCAGCGGGTTTCCAGCACCAGAATCAGCCAGACGGCACGGAAATGGTTCACAGAGATGGAGCGAGCAGGTGAGAACCGGCTTGATGGACTGAATGTGTTGCTTGATTCAGATCTCTCTAGTGTAGATACGTTGGGGAAACTTTGGCCAACTTCTGCGCACGGACGTGCTGGCCCCAGCCATTCGCGATTTCGGGTTTAGGGTTTTACGAGTGCGAGGTGCTGGGGGAAATCTTTCCAGAACTCATCAAGACTATGCAAAAAGGGCTTACCTATAGTCTCCATTGTAGATCCTTTTTTTGGTTAACCAAATTCATATTATAGGATCCTAACCATAAAACTGGTTAACCCAAAAAAGGAGCTACAATGGAGACTATAGGTAGGGTTTATAGGGTTTAGTCGACCTCTCCTGTGTTCCTTAACACGTACACGAGGTCGTTGGACCGGGGGTTCGTCCTTGCTTGGCTTCCTCGTTTTGCCGTCCCGGGAACGATGCCCTTAGACTGAGACTCATGGCAAAGCCCCTAACTCTAGCATCGGTGCCGAGCCATGCTGCTGGTGTAGCACAGGAGTCGAGATAGGGACAGAGAGCTGAGTTTCAGCGCGAACCCGAAGCTTGGTTGTGCTCCTCTAAATTCCGCCTCTGCGTCCGTGCCCACAGGTTAGTTTGCCGACTTTACTCTTCAGTTGCTTGTGGCTCAGGTCTACAATAGCCGCCTATTCGGCACCGGGACAAAGGTTCCTTGGCTCTTGCAGCAGCGGAAGTGATAGCCGCAAGGACGGAAATGGTTTCGAGTGAGATCCTGTCCAAAGGAAGTAATGACTCGCGGCATAATGCACTAGACATGCTGATGGTGAGACTCGAATCCAGGAGGAGACCAATCTCATCATTTAGCTAGCTCTTAAACATTCTTGAACTGTAAGTCGAAAAGTTAGAGCTTGCTTCATCTCCACCTGCTTCTCGGTTCTTGTTTCAACAGTCCCTTAGTATATGGCTTGTTGCTCGGTGGCCAAATGTGTGTCTTCCCACCCAGCAAACCTATGGACATACTGTATACCTTGTGTGGAGAGTCCGAGCGTGAGCGCCGAAACCTTATGGGAGTTTCCGAAAACAAGGGGTACCTTATTTTGGGGTCCCCATAATAAGGACCCTATTATTTGGGGTACCATATAAGGGTCCCCTATTTTCGGAAACTCCTTTATTTCCTCAGCAGTGGCGAAGAGAAGCGGGACGGCGGGCTGACTGTAAGACCACTGCCGTCAGGACTACATCTTTGGTCTTGCTCATGACCCCTGTAACAAGCATCAGCAACAGAGTCCTCCGAAGCATGGCCGGCTTTTACAAAACCTTCCAAACCCTAAGCCCTAAACCCAAACCCTAAACCCCAAACCCCAAACCCTAAACCCCAAACCCTCTAGCCTCCAAAACCGCCCTGAGTACCTTGAGGTCTCCGAGGAATTGGTCTTGGCGTCCGTGGATCAGTTGTTGCCACTGCTGCTCCTGCCTTTTCGTTCCCGCCGCTCGGGCTAAGAGCTACTATAGGGGCCTAAATAATTACCTATGCTATTTTGGGGGTTCCTTATCATAAGTATAGTATAGTATAGTATGGTATAATGGGCCCCAATACTATTCTACTGTAATTTGTAAGGCCCCTATATTACGCGTGCAATTTTACCCAGGCTTTGTGTGTGTGTGTAGGGCTCCCTGGGATTCCCCACCAAAACAAGATTCAACCATAACTTCAGCCCTGAGCCACCACTTCCAAGCATGTTTGGGCACCGTACAACTGTCCCTGATGGCTGGGGTGTTGCTCTTTAGTCCTCTTCTGGGCATCACGAACGAAGCCTTAACCAGAAAAACAGTCCTGCCTCAGAAGAGAAGCGATGCTCGGCTCGAAGCCACTCAGACTTTAAGGGTGATGGGCGGCTGCGGTCCCTGAGGTGACCCGGAAAGCATCCCGGCCACTCCGATGCCGAAACTGCCTGCCCAAAATCTTCCAGGACAGCTTGGCCACAGTTTTCGAGCGGATGAGGAAGTAGAACACGGTTCTGGGTGTACAGTAGAGTATTTTTGCAGAGGAGGTTGGACTTATGAGTTCTCGAATTCACGTGATCATCTGCGAGGCCCAGGTTTTTATCTTAAAAGGGCATATGTCCGCCATCTTCGCCCCGAAGCAAGTGGGGGATGCAAGGTGACAAGATGCCCAGGCCCACCTTGGAAACAAGGGTCTTCACAAACTTTTCGGGGATATGATTCAGAAACCGGTGAGTTTAGACTTCTTGGCTTCGGGGCAAAGCCTTTAAACCACCGAAACCCTGAAGCCCTTGACTGCCCCAAACCTTTAGAAACCTACATCAGCAAACTGAAAAGCCCTGCAACCAAAACCCGAAACCCTGACACCTAAAGGCCCTCAAGAAGAAAACCCCTAAAGCCTAAATCCTGAACTTTCAGTCGGAAAAGAGCCCACCAAACCACAAGAAACTATCCTAAAGGTTATACCCTCAACGTCTCCTAGGCAAGTCCGAGAGCGAGTGCTGAAACCCTAAACCCCTGAGCTTTCGGGGTCTGCGCAACAAACTTCGCAGGCGGGCGACGTCGACGGACACTCTGTGGCTCGAGGGTCTACGAGCCGCTTTGCCGTAGGGTTTAGGGTTTAAGGTTTAGGGTTTAGAGTTCAGGTTCTAGGATTTAGGGTTTAGGATTTAAGGTTTAGTGTGGAGGCACTTCAGAGAGACCTCGTTCAAAAGGGTTTAGGCAAAAAGGGGTTTCAGGTTCAGGAAAGGTTAGGGTTTGGCCGGCTGAGCTCCAATCAAGCCTGTGTAAACAGTGTTTGGGGTAGTTTTAGGGTTTAGGGTTTAGGGTTTTGAGGGGGGGGGCCGAGCCACGGTTTAGGGTTTTCGGGTGGTTTGAGGGTGAAGGGTTGGCTAGACTTGAGTCCAGTACTCACAACACAAGGGAGGTTTGAGGGTTTAGCAAACAGGGGTGGTTGCCAAGATTTTCTGAAGTTGAAGAAGGAGTTCCGGCACCTTTGCCGGACAAACTCGACAGCTGCCACATCGCTTTCCTCAGTCACTTACAGCCAATGAAGCGTGAAGCCTGTTGCATCTAAACTTAATCGGTACTAGTTACTTCGAAAGTCACACATGCACGAAGAAGAAGACACACAACCCTAAGCCCTACACCCAATTCCAGAACACTGCCTTGTCAATTGTGTGTGCATGGCCAGCTCATAACTCGGTTAGGCTGCGAAAGACTCGCACCAGTTGGTTTGGGCTGGTAGAGGTATTTAGCATACATAATCCTCCACAGATGTGCACATGACGCGTACGCAGACATTTATCCAAGTTATGCTACAGCGCATACCATGAGCGCAAATGCCAAGGTACCCCTCTGATCCCCTGCCCGATCGCTACCTGCTGTGCCAAAAGATCGCGGCGGCTTCGACGCCTTCTGACGAGCTCTGGGCACCCCGGCTTCAAGAGCCTAAACCCCAACCCCTACGTGCAAACCCTGAAAAGCTCTGACAGATATGTTCTCGGAGTTTCGAGTCATGGGTTCCTGTGTCACATGCAAGAGAACATCGTGAGTTGGGGGAGGCGTCTTTGAGCCCTGAGCCTTCGCCCTGCTTCAAAGGGTTGGAGTTGGGGTTGTAGGGGCGTTTCAGGATTTGGGATAACAATGCCCGTTTTGCTCTCTGGCCATATTCTGTGTCGGCGTTTGGAGTCGGTAAGTGTTCAGTTTAGGCTTGAGGGGTGTTGGTTGAACCGCGATTTGCGGGCCCAGGTGGCGTCAAGCCCCTCTAGCACCAAGAACCACAAACTCCAACCTGTCGCGCGCGAGTCATCGAGTTGAAGCTCCACCCTGGTTAGCCCGACTAACCGCAAAGCGCCACCTCTGAACATTGGGCCACCGAGCTCGCAGGCGATTCACGTAGACGACTCGGGCAACGACGGCCGCTGACCTGAGACCAGAGATGTGCAGTTCTCTAAATTAGGATCCATTTACGGTTTAGTTTAGGGTTTAGCGGTGTAGTAGCAAGTTATGAACATACCTGGCCAGAGCCCAGGCAGATATTTGTGCTTATATTAGCCACATACACCCCAGATACCAACCATGTCATGTGTCTACGGTATTGTTGCAACAGTACCCCTGGGTACGAAGTCATGGTTTTGGTTACTGCTGCTGCGCGCTACGATCAGTAGTTTCATGTTCTTACTGGCTCAGTTTTCATACACATGCTGCTTACCCATTGAGCTCAAACCACTCGCTGAGCCCTCAACCCCTACACTACCTTTGGCAATTCCAAAATTGCCTTCCAACGCTTTTGAAGTGATGCCCTTGCAATCCTCGACCCGAAAGTGCCAGCCAAAAGTTCGTTTGGGCACATGAGCTTTATCCTCTCACTGGTCTTTGCTGCCATACTCAATCACTCGTGCCCGGGGAGTGGCGTTATGGCAGTATAGTGGTGACGCGAGTTGGAGCAGGAAGAAGGACCTAGACCCAAGCCTTCGTGGCATTTTTGGCTTGGCACATCCTCCGAAAATCTCGCTGCAAGTGGCTGCCGCCAAGTTCCCAAGTTGCGAGTGCTAGAATTGGAAGACAGTCCCCCAAAACATATACAACCCTCGTCCCGAACAGTAGCAGCCTTAACTTACACCTATGACAGAGTGCACCCAAAAAGGCAGAAACCATCGGAAACCCTAAAGCCCTCAACTCCAGGATTTCGAAAATGACAAGAGCCTGAAGATCTCGAGGTGAGAGGAGCTATGGGCCAGCTCTGCAGCTGACTTGAAGTCTCATGGGGGGAGGCTCTCAGGGCGGTTTCGGGTTTTTTTTGGGGATTTAGGCTGTAGATTAGATGGTTTCGGGTTTTAAGGTTCGGGGTTGTGCTGGTTTTTAGGGAATTTGGGCTTTGAGGCTTAGGGCTGCCAAGTTTATATTGTAGGCTTTTGGGTGCAGGCCCCTGAGGTAAGACAAGGTGTTTGCGACGGGGCCTATGTGCCGATCTGGGTGCGGTGGGGGATTGAATTAGGCTTGACAGTGCTTGGGGTGAACGACTTGAGTGGTCCTGATGTGTCTTTGGCCTGGAGCGGGTAGCCTACTGTACTTCAAACCATGGTTTTGAGGCCCTTATGATTTGAGGGATATACCTTACTTAAGGGCTTGTCCGAGAGTGCGTGTCACAAGTTAGGGGCTTCCAGGGACACCAGATGAAACCCCAGTGGACTGAGGCATGTGCTGTTCCTAGTGGACGAGGCGCTTGCATCATCGGAGTTCAAGAAAGAGGCTCGAACCGGGTCTTGTTGGTGGTGGGTTTAGGGGCGTAGTTTCGGGTGTAAGAGTGGCTCTGGGATTTCGCACGCGGGCTTGGGCATATTGAAAACGTCACCGGGCCGCGTGTCTTTGGCTGTGGTGACGTTCTTTCACGCGTGCCGCGCGGAATAGTTGCAAATGGCTGCGGTCGTGACTCTTACCGTCAACTTGCCAAGAGTAACTATTTAAGTTAATGACAGAGAAAGCAGACGGATCAAGCATGATGCTCCCGACAAGGGTCACGAAAAACTTACCTCAACAGCCCCGAAGTTGCAAGCCAGAGCTACTCGAATCTCTATGCGTCCACAAACAGAGGTACAGGTACTCCACAGGCGATTTCATACACCTCCCCACCATACACAGATACAACGCTGAAATAACCCGACAGTGCCCAGAAGCCGGGGCCGCAAGCCATGTCCACAAGCAGTGACCTGCCGCAACAAAGGTACTCGTAGAGTCTTGGACCTGAACCCCCCAGAGACTCCAAAACCCCTCAATTAAGGAATATACTTTAAACCATCTTAGGGATCCTATTATAATTTAAGGTATATTCCTTAATTAAGGGGTTTTGGAGTCTCTGGGCCCTAGCAACCGACCCGGCATTCGAAGCCAGCCGCCCCTCAATCGGCCCTGAGCTCAAACCCTACCTATAGTATCCCTTGTAGTTCCTTTTTTTTGAGTTCTGTTGTGAGTAGTTTTGTTGAAGTGCCATGATAGACCCTGCATCGTAGGTTCGTCCTAGCCAAGCGGGAGGGAAACCAAAAAGTTCCTTTTTTTGGTTAAACCAATGATATACTAAGGATCCTATAAGGTAACCCCAAAAAGGAGCTGCAATGGAGACTCTAGGTGCATTATCTCTCTGTGGGAGGCTGAAACTCACACCCCCACGCACCAGGCCCAAAATGCACGTTCCCAGTTTCTTCTACGACTCCTCCCTGCACCACCGTGATCATATGTTTGCAGTATGAGTGGGCCTATTTTCGTGGCGGCTTCCGTTCTTCTGGAATCCGAGTTTCACCCCACAGCCACCGCTTCAAGCGCAGAGGTCCCAATATTGGTGGAGACGCTGACGGGCCAACTTCAGGCTTTCCAAGCCAAGGTTTCCTTAGAGGTTTCCCTTTCTTTGGGGCTCAATATAGGGAGTCATATGGTGTCTAGGCTTCTTTAAAGGTTTTGTGTGTCAGGGCTGTGTAACAGTGTTACTAGTGAGGTATAGTGGCAAAAAAATTTCCAGGGTTGAGGTTCGGGGATCGTGGACCAGCCCCGCTCAGCTGTGGAAGTTTAATGAGTTGCGGGTAGGTGCTGCTATGGGCGCAGTGCTTTCGTCCAAGAGTGTCGTGGTTTGCTCCAGAATCCTGACACGGTAGACAGGCTACAGGATACACACCTGGGAGCACGGAAGAAGTCAAGTTCGCACATGAAAGTCCCATAGAGTCCTGCAGCTTTACTGTCATAGTGGTCTGCAGCGACAGGCGGTATTGCGGCTTCGGTGGTTGTCCACGATATTGCTGCCTTGTGAGTTCTTGTCCTCGCCCCTACATTCCTACAGGTTTTGAGCTAGGGCAACAGTTCTCTGAGCAGACTTGGCCCCCCTTGCCCCCCCGTGTGTTCCCCGAAGCCCTGGGACGAGGGCAGCACGTCGCTGGTTCTCTTCAACTCCGCCGGCGTGGACTCGAATCTTTGTAGCTTGCCTGAGCTCCAAAATGTAGCACCCATGTCTACCGATCTAGAAAAAACCAATGAATCCTATAGAGCCTAAATCCTCCAGGGTTCGGATATCCACCTTGTGCAAATATGGTGGCTTACGAGCTTAATTCGGCTTACTATAAGGGCCAAAAATAGTTAGAATAGGGGTTGGGGGGTATATTTTACCATAGCTTATATAATAATGAACCCCTAAAACCCTATTCTGAATATTAAGGTCCCTACATCAGGGCTCGAATTGCCTGCACAAGCAGCAGGAACATCGGTAGCCCCAGGACGCACTGGCGTTCGATTTCCGGAGCCATCGTCACTTCGCCCGCGTGGCATCGCCGCAGGCGACTGCGGCGCTCCAAGGCCAGGCAGCGTCTCAGCGCCGGCCAGAAACCTCCCTCCATCCAGTTCACTGCACTTGCAGCGCATCACGCGACTTCAGTGGAACAACTGGTACAGCTCTGCCGCATGGGACGCGGCGGCCGAGGTGGAAGAGGCGGACGAGGACAAGACCAACAAGGATGGCGCTCCAATCCGCAGTCATGGCGCTTCTGGCCTGGAGCCTTTTCGCCTTCGGCGCCCTGGCACAAGGAAGCCCAGAAACCACAAGCTGCATTCCCGTCCTACAGCACCATGCAACATGCGATGAGCGACCAGAACAGTCGCCAAGCTACTCATGCAGAGACTGGACACCTGGTGACCGACATGCAGTCAGTTTTGAACGTGGCCATGAAGGCAGAGAATCGTGTACTTCGCCTACACCAGGCATACGAGAAGGCTCAAGAGCAATGGGCTGCGTTCGAGACCGCAGCACAGCTCAACTTCCAGAAGGAGAGGCGGAAGTACTTACAAGATCTTGCCAAGATAGAGAAGGAAGCAATGGAAGCAGAAGCTCTGCAGGAACAGACCAGAGCCACAGTGCGAGAGGTTGCCATCCGCGAAGGTGCTGCGGCCGGTACAGGATCATCCTTGAAGCCGGCGCCTGCAGTAGAGCCCCAAGTTTCGGCCCTTTTCGAGTCTTGGGCAGAAGCGGATGGCGCCACCCTCACAGGCGTACTACATCGAGCCTTACAGCCCTCACAGGACATGGATCCGAGAACGCCAGCGAGGCCTGTCTATGCTATGCCACGGACGCCCATGGTTGCACGAACAGCTGGACCGGCACCCGCTTGCACCAGCGTGGCCCAGGATCCTTACATGGGGGTTTCAGCCACCCCGGCTCCGGATGTTACTGCCTCCCCTACTGTGCCTGCTGGCGCACTCACTGGCATTGTTTCGACACCTGCGCCGAGCCCGAATCAGGCCCCAAAGCATCCAGGTCAGCGCGACATGGACTCAGCTCGGGTCAGGACGTCGGAAGCTCCGCCACGCCACAACATCAAAGATGCCACCAAGGCCAAGGCGACTCCTCCCACGGCCCGCGTTTCACTGGAGTCAAAGCTTCAAGAGAAGCGTTCAGCGCTCAAAGCCTTTGGTGTTGCCGAGGTTGGTCGGCCCCCTCCTGCCATCAGTGCCGACCAGCATTTCAGCAGTGGCCTGGCCGGACTTACCATAGACGACGACGACATGGACGATCCTGGTGGAAACACTGCTTTTGGCATGGATCTGTGAGCTTCCTTAGGAGTGTTACTCACTCGAAGAGCTGCACACCTTTCGGGGAAGGCTGCTTTGGGAGGCAGGCTCATCGCGAGTCACACCTGGGGTGTGTGACTCCCCTGAGTCAGTTCCACCTTGGGCAAAGCCTCTTCGATGTGGGGTGTAGCGCTTATGGAGGCGGTAACACTCGGTCTCACGTAGGAGGCATTGCTTTTGTACAGGCAGCCTGTGTGCCCCGTCGGTCGGTTCATCTCCTCTACTCACGGCAGGTTTTGGATTTCTGCCTGGGGCACTCCCCCTCCCTGATTTTGCTTTGCAGCGTTGGACTTCTTGGTTCCAACGCCCCCTTTTCATGGTGTTGCGGACGACTGGCTTGGTTTTCCTGCCGTCGTCGCTGCCCGTGGTTCTTCGAACCCTTTGTTGCACATTACCAGCCAGGCATACAGGAGGGTTTTGTTGCGTATGCGTGGCCATGCGTCTTTTTTCAAAGGCTTTCCGCCAGCCAAGTCTTTCAGGCAAGAGCGCAAAACAGCTACATCGGTTGCTCTGGGGTAGCGGCCTTGCCGATTGACCGTAATGATGGCAGCACTGCCATAGTAGGCCGCCCTCCTTCTAGCACCGGTTTGGGTGCTATGAGTTGTCCCAGTTTTGATCCCATTATGGTTGGGTGCCTTGGTCAGGTTCATGACACTGTCACTGTTGGAAGTAGAGCGCATAACAGCTACATCGGTTGCTCTGGGGTAGCGGCCTACTTCCTTGCAAGTGAAGAGTTTGGCACATTACACCATAGATGTCAGGCTCCCTGTAGAGGCCAAGTTGAGGGACACAACCCCAACATCGACCAGCATGCTCATTGGCCAGTGTCGTGGCCAGCAGTCTGGCAGCAGAATGCAGGCCTTTGGTGCCTTGGCATACTTGCAGAGCTTGCGGAACCCTTTTTCCGCAGCCTCCTCGTCCTGCTTTTCCTGGCCCTTTGGAGTCTCTGCCTTGCACCTTTTCGCCGCAGGTTTGCCTTTGTAGGTTATGGGTGTGGTCATAGATGCGGGTTGCTGACCGCAGCCTTGGTCAAGCCACTTGGTGACGTCGGCTCCCCACGTCCCCTCCTTGCCTGGACCGCTAAGATCAGGGCGCGCCCAAGACATATGCAGCGGCCTGTCATTCACCACTGGTGTGGGCCAGGGCGTCTTTACCGCGCGTTTCTTGCGGGTGTTCTTAGCCTGCTCAGCACCCCTACACTGCTTTCTATGCCGTCCGCCCTCACTTGTGCTGTCTGGTTGTTTCCAGAAGGTGCTGCAGCCATGACAAGGCCAGGCCCAGCAAACCCACTGGCTACTCCAGTTCACAGGCCACACCTACTTGCCCCAGACCAGCTGACTTCCTATTCAGGCAGGTGCGATGTCCAAATCCCCTGGATTGAAGAGGACACTGATAGAAGAGACCCCAGTGTCATCTATTCAGGAGACCTGCCTTGGACCCAACCCTCGGATGGGGTTGCTGCCGAGGATGGGCGTTGGCTAGGTGTATACCTTTATTCTCCGCACTACATGCCAAGGTCCTTCGCCGTCAAGACGCTGCCTGCCGAAGCTTGGCCCGAAATTGCTAGTAAGGTCAGGCGATTGGCGCCGGGCAATCAGGCAACTTTCGGGGATACTGTTGTCCCCTTGCGTCCACAGAGGTCCCAGGGCTACTTGTATCTGCTTCAATTTCCGAGTGCAATTCGGGCCCTCAATGAAGGTGAAGTTGCAGTAGTTTTTGACCTCTCCAGGGTAGGTGGTCGCTATTTTGCCAACACACTGCCCACGAGTCTGTCCTACGAATCCCTCATTGCGTATATCCACCCCCTTACAACAGAAGACAACGCAGAGGAGCTCAGGATTTTCGTAGGTTGCAGGTCCAATCCGTGGCCTCCACAGGCTGCTGTTCATTTTGCTGATGGTGAAGTCATTACGGTTGTACGGGCTGCATATACGGTCTTCCCAAAAATCCGTCCAGAGGCGCTCTTTCTACCGAACAGTGATTGGGGACCAATGCACCATTTTTTCGCAGCTGAAGTACACCCTGCTGCCTGTGTCAAGTACCGAAGCCAGAGGTATTGCTTTCCCAGCTATTACCACTACGGACAAAGTGTGCTTGACTTTGCTTGCCAAAGGCTCCGTTTAGACCCGACAAGAATCCTTTCGTGCTCCTTCCCCATAGGAGACCTCGATACACAAGGTTTCTTGTGTACCTCCCTGATCGCCATCGAGGAGCTTCCAGCCAATGCGCAGCTAGGTGCTGGTGTTGAACGACAGGATTATTTTACCCTGTGCGACCTGCGGCCTTTGGGGCAGAAACCACAGGTTGTACACACAAATGTGCCAGTGCTCCACGTGCCCAGTCTTATGTCTAATTTTGGCATTGACTTACCCAGGCACCTGCAGGTTTGCTCTCTAGGCGGTAAGCGTAGGGGTGATCTAGTTCGAGTCAAACCCCACTCGACCTTAATCTTCTATGCTGATGAAGCTCCTCCCGCCGACTCCAGTTCGACCGCAAGCGGTGCGCCTTCGGAAGGAGAATCAGCAGCCGAGGCTTCTCCTGCACCGCTTTCTCCTTTAGCGCAACCTGCATCTGAGGAAGATGACCATGCCGATACGAGTGGCAGGGAAACCGGGGCCGTTGATGCTGCCACCGTACAGCCCCCTCCCTCCATTGCGTCCGAGCCTGCACAACACTTCGTGGACGCTACGATTCCAGCAGACCACAGTTGGAACGCCTCTGAAGCGGTACACGCTGAACCCAACCATTCTAGGTTCACATTTCTCGGGAATTCTAGTCCAGATAATGACTGCACTCGTGAACAGCCGGTTGATAAAGGCCCCTCTGCCATTGGCAACCCGCATGTGTCAGATGGCAGCCGTCGTCCTGACTATGCTGCGCAGTTGAATCTTGGCCCGCCCGATGTTGATCCTGGATTTCTTGAGCCACCAGGCTTTGAGACCGATGCTCCCATGCAAGCCCATCCTGGGCCTGTTCCAGATACAGCTGCTGTTGCCGTCTTAGTCTACATTCCAGACCTTGCGCCTGAGCTCCACCACATACATGTACAGGTTCCTTGCAGCGTGCATCAGGCCCTTACACAGGTTGTTGGGGTCAGGAGAGGAGACCATGTCATGTACTTTCCATGCCTAGCACCAGTCGCCCCGCAACCTGCCACTGACTTCATGATCCTGATTGCAGCTCCAGAATGGATGCATGATCGAACAGTCGTCCTCTTCGACTGCCGACATCTCGCCCAGGCGTTGTACGCAAAGGCAGTTCCTACAACACTCAACAGAGAATCATTACTTGCAACAGCAGGCTGTCGTCCAGATGACCCTGTTCAAGTATACGTGCATGGGCTTCTCCGCCCCCT